AATCATTCAACACATGCATTCACTTCATCATTGCAGCCACACATTCACCCACATGCTATCCCATTTCAGATTGCATTTCATTCATTTCACATGCATTCACTTCATCATTGCAGCCACATTTCCACTCACATCCATTTAATTCACATGCTTTCACATGCATTTTCAGCCATGCACATTCACCTTGCATTTGCAGAAAATCCACTTCCTTTGCACATGCATTCATCATCATCACTCTAGTTTTAATTCACATGCATTTCAGATTGCATTCCATTCATTCCACCCTTTAATCACATGCATCTTGGCAGATTTCACATGCACACACAAGCATTAGCACATGCAACCTAGCTGTCATGTTCCCCCCATTTCACCTATAAATAAGCATCCATTGCATTCATTCTCATACACACTTCCATTTCAGAAACTCATCCATTGCAGAAATCAAACCATCTTTGTGCCGTGAGTCTCCCTTACAATCCAAACACCATCCTTCCATTTCCACCACTCCCCAAACCATTCACACCATCAAACTATCCCTAGACCTTGTGCTACAACGAAGAGGAAGATAAGAGTGCCTAAACGTTCATACAATTCAAGTTTGAGTTGTTGGAATGTTTAGGTGTTTCTTTGATTTCAAAGTTATGAGGAAATTCAAAATATATGTTTATGCTTGCATTTTGATTTGATTACTTCTAATTGCGTTTCATAAGTTGTGATTCAATTTGTTTAACCGTTTGATTGATAACTTATTTATGTATGTTTATTGAGAGTGCACGCTTAATTTTTATGCATGAATATGACGCTAGAATATAAGTGAGTTTCACCTAATAGTTACGAACTTATATTCACAAGTAGTGGAGGTTGCTTATAAACAATCGCGTTAAACGAATTCTTGGCATAAGTTTCATGCGTATTCCATAGTAACGAATGCCTCGTCAACACTTATAATTTTCATAGAGCGTAATGATTCTTGCTTGTATCTCTATTATGCAATCATGTAGGGGACTTGTGGGGAATGTTTTGAATTGTTGTATGCGCTAACCCATCCAATTCAATAACGTTAGGAAGATTTGAAGGTTAATTAGTGCATCACGGTTAACTTGGGGTGTTGAGAATTCATGGTTTATTGAAATGCAATTGGAAATCATTTTATTATGCAAGTGTAACATGTGTGGAGAAGAACTTTCTAGCTAGCATTCATCCATTCATTTCATCACATTCATATATACTATCTGTTTTAATTCGAATCTGTACATTTTATTTAATTTCGTATAAAACTCAATCCCCCTTTACTTTATTGTCCAATTTAGTTAGAAAGTGTCTTAGTTTATGTTTATAAGTGTTTTGATTCATTTTATTTCCCAATTTCGTCCAAATTCACCAAAGTGCTCAAAACTGCCCAGAAAGTGATTTTAAGGCAGTTTTGAGTGTTTTGGGTGATGTTTGAGTCTTTTGGTTTGTTTTAATGTTTTAAGTGTTTAGTTTTACATTCTTTGAGTTAGTTTAGTGTTTTATATTGTGTTTTTACGTTCTTGAGTCAAGTTATTACTTAATTTCGTCCAAATTTGTGTTTGTGCTCAAATCTGCCCAGAAAGTGGTTTTTAGGCAGATTTGAGTGTGTTTGTGTTGTTTTGAGTCTTTTGGTTTGTTTTAGTGTTTTAAAGTTTAGTTTTGCATTCTTTGAGTCTAGTATAGTGTTTCATATTGTTATTTTACGTTTTTGAGTCAAATCCAAGTGGTTAACAATCCCTCCTAATCCCCGGTCCAGAACGATCCCTACTTATACATATACTACAATTTGACGAAAAGAGGGTTTAATTTGTGTGCGTATAATTCTCGCATCATCCTCATTGGTAGAGGTCATCTTATTAGCCTTCTCGGCGAAGTGAGGTGTTACCAAGTTACTACATTCGGCACATTAAAAGCCAAATTTGAAATTGAATTTCGCATAACTAGCAGCCTTGTCTTCAGGTTTTGGAACCCGAAGGTCGAGACATGTCCTTCCTCGGCCGTAGTCGTAAGATCAAAAAGTCAGCAGCGCGCCCAACACCACATCAACGTATTTTACTCCCCAGCCAAACTTGGTCGATGAGTTGGCACGCCCTACACACAACCAAATGATGTAGTTAGCTTATTAATTACTCGGCATGCGTGCCACGTAGGCTTGGTAGTTTTTCGGATCAACAATAGGTTATAGAAGTTCAAGTCCAAGTGTAATCCAATCTGCATAATTTGGGTTCATGCATTTTGACATTAACTTTCTAATTGTTTTACTAGCCTTAGCTTCGATTTCATGTGAATTGCCTTGCTTGTCATCATAACCAACTTTACTTAACCAATCTAGTTTCTATCGTGAGAAGAACTATCAATGCCATGTTCCATTAAGTACCGTTTGGTACGTGGGATATGACGGAACAGAGTGGGACAAGATGTTCCGTCCCACGTTTGGTGCGCCTAAAACGGGTGGAACGAGCTATTCCACGGGACGAGTTTTGGGTGAATTTTCGTTCCACCTCACCCCCCCTGGAACGACTCGTTCCACATCCGTGGAACACAAAACTATAACCTCTCCGTCTCCTTCTTCTTCCTCCTTGTTTCCATCCGAGGGCATCTTTGCTCCCGCTCCGTTCCGTTCCGTCCTGTCCCGTCCTGTCCCGTCCCGTCCCGTCCCGTCTGCATACCAAACGATACCTTAAGGCCTAGAAATTTATTAACAAGAAGACATGCATGGCTATTATTTCATCTCTAATATATTTCCCATCTTTCCAAGACATTGAAGCATCATATCTCAAACTTGTTGGAGAGAGTTGAGTTGTTGTTGAAGTCCGGACTAGTATGATATCCACTGTTATATATTCTTTTGGTGTTATAAAATCTTTTAAAATCCTATGTAATTCATAAAAGAAGTTCATACAAATCTGTAGAAATTTATTACAAAAATTTATATAAATCCGTTAAAATCCATATAAAATTATAAAATCCATTAAAATTTGTCAGCTATAAATAGTATTTTAAAATACTCTAAATTCCAAACTTACTGCGTCCCCTAAATAGATCGTTCTTTAAGCATTAAAGCGTCCGCCACATTTAAATATCCAAAAGTGAACCCGCCTAAACCCATCTCATCAGTCATCCTCCACCGTCGATCAGAACTTTGGCGGGAATCTCCTAAACCAAAACCCTTCAAATATTAAATTTAAAAATAAATAAAAATGAAAAATTCCAGACCCTTTAAAATGACAGGAGTGAAGACGAACGAACCCACCCCAAAGAAAGGCGGCCTCATGTACGACAACGACGATTCCTTCCAGTTTCCGGACGACTCGTCGTCTGACTTGAACTCCGCTGATGACGTCATCTCCACCGCAATCATTATGGTCTCGCCTCCAGAGACCTCGGACGACGAAGATCCCATCTGCAGTGGCAGCACCAGCAACAACAGAGCGTTCCAAGACGTCTTCCAGACCCCGCCCCAAGACTCGCATCCACCGGCCTCAGATGGTATAACCCCGCTGGCGGAAGTCGATCGGAGCGACGATGATGACGATCGTCCGTACGAGGATGCCGGAGACGGTCGCGGCGTGGCCGTCCCCTCCGGTGATGGTTTTACAGATGGCCCCGCCGGTGCGGCTGCGGGTGTGGTTGATTTGGGGCGGGACACGGATCTAGGATTTTCTGAGGCGGAAACGATCGAGGTTACGGGTTTCATAGCAGAATTGGCTTCGGAACGCGGTCAATTGGAGTCGCCGTTGAAGAAATTGAGGGTTTCCGAGGACGATTTGAGGAAATCGGAGTTTCAGGCGACGGTTCCGCACAGTCACGGCTGTAATTCAGGCAAAAGTCTTGAAATTGACGGCGCCAATGAGAAGTCGAGCGAGAAAGAATTGGAGGTGAGGAAGCTGGACTCTTCTGAAGACGAGAGTGAGAGTTGTGTCGAAGAATCTGAATCGGACGGTGAGGAAGAGGAAAGCATAGAAGACATAATGAAGAGGATACCTAATGTGACTATTGAGGAGTTGCGCCGAATGGACAAGCTGTGGATGCGGCGGAAGCTGCCTCCATCGATCAGTGGGCAGACAGGGTCGAGTGCGATGGACGGCAAGGAGGGGAAGGAGGAGGTGTCTATATTGGATGTGTTGAAACTTCTGAAAAACGGTGATGATAATGGTAACAATGAGATTGGCAAATGTAGTTTTTTGGAGATAAGTAGGCGCAGAGGCATGACTTTTCCCCAACCGGTGTGGTGGCCGAAAGGCGGGTTCGGATTTGAACAAGGTGGCCAACCTTGAAGAACAGAAGCATGGCAACTGAGGTAGGACTTTTGGAAGTCGTAAGTGTGGAACCTTTTTGTGTGAACATCTTGCTCATGTATAGTGTATCATTGGGCGCATGGAACCATTTTTGTATGAACATCTTGCTTGTGTATTGGCTTGCATCTCCTTGTATTGCATGTATGTCTCACCTTCTTGGTCTTTTCTTCTATTTAAAAGGCCAAATTTGCCATGTCTTCTTCCTTTGAAGTTGCACAATTTGGAAAGGTTCATCTTTTGGAAAGAATTGACATATGTTTTGGAATATGCACTATTTGTTTGATATTGCTAAGTTTGGTCACACATCGTAATTTTCCAAAGTTTGGAATTTTCTTAGTTATTCCCGGTTGTATATTTTCGATGCCTATCTTATGACATGAACGTTTCTTCCCTTAAACCTTTAAGAATAGTAGCAAACTAACAAACCTTAGTGGAGTGAATTGTTGGATAACGAAAAAAACCTTATCGTAAACGTGTAAGTCAACAAAATTGTACAATTCGAAAAAGGCATAAAAGCCGGCAAAATGTCCACTCCTTTTACATGCACCACGCAAAGTTATTTGTTTTCTCTCACCCTTTTTCTTTTTTTTGTTCAATCAGCAACGCTAATAAGCAACAACAACCAAAGCCACCAAAATAGCATCTAACTTATTACCAAAAAAAAAAAAAAAAAAAAAAAAAGTGGAGAATTCATACAAAAACTAAGGAACTTAGCAGTTGTGCAATATAAGTTATATTACAACCTGTTTGTCAACCTATACAAAAAAAACCCACCCAAATTTCATCCCTTAAGAGTTTCAGGTTCAAAGAGTTGAAGGGGCAAAAGAGAGCAACCATCGAACCTCATTCATGTCTTGACCATTCAAAATACATGAACCCTGTCATGGCTTTTGGCCGAAGGTGTACGGTTCCTACATAGTTGTATTCATCAACATAGCATATGACATATCCAAACTTGTCAGGGATGGAGTACATGTGGGTATATCGAGCTACTACTAGTGCTTGCCTGTGGGGCACCAAAACTCATGGCTGGGTGAAGGAGCTCTGCTTGGGCAAAAGAGCCATTGGACGGAACATCAAGGAGGAGATCCTGGTCAGAACTCTCGTCAACAAAATTCATAGAATCCATTAGGAAAGAACCCCCATCAGTAGGCAATGCAAATAGGCTTTTTGGACTAAAGCAAGAACCTCCATCGTAGTCCATGGGATCCTTGTTTTCATAGCTACCCTTCATAATTATCCTTTTGGGGCTTTTCATAATCTTTGCATCTGAAATATGCAAGATAGTTAAGAATAGTTCTAATTTTTCAAAATGATGAAAATTGCATGTACAGATAGTGGTGAAGTTGCTCTTCGAGCACATGGCTATGTGAGTATGAGAGGTTTCGTACCATTTTAGTTCATTCAATGTACAGGAGTGAGCATAAGTGCGTTATTGAACCCTAATACACTACGATTGTTATCTTATAAAACATGCCTTCGTTGGAATTAGTTCCAAGAGTTCAGCAGCACTTTATGGACCCATGATACTTCGTGCACATGAAAAATACAAAACCCCCGTAATGATAACTATAGAAGTTTAATGAAAGTGAAACTCAGGATTGTGTATTCCAGCAGTCCTCCCAAGAAATGAGTGCATAGAAACAAGGGAAATTTAAAAACATGGTAGACAATCTCTTGCAAATGTTATGTTACTAAGATGTTAACTTTTGTTTGATCTTATGTAATGTTTATGTATCGAAAAGAGATATAGAGGCAAGAATTCCACCATTCAACTAAATATAAGAAAAGAGAACTTTCAGCTAACCTGGGAAACTTTGAGTCTCGTTGTCCCACAGTCTCTTGACATGTCGAAGATTACTAGATGCCATGTTAAGCCCAGAAACAACAGACTTTCCAGAGCTAGTTTTACATTTCTGTGGAAAACAATAGATAGCAACTATTGTAAATTCACTTTGAAATTCCTTTGTAATGATATTCAAATTTCAGAAAAGCTCAAACCTTGAGAAGATGATAGCGTTCAACCCATTTAGATTTTGGAGAATTGGACAATGCAAGCCTTTTCAAAGTCTTACAGTCTTCGGTTTTTACCCCCGGGAAGGAGATATCAAACACGCCTTCTGCTAGCAATTGCTGAAAGGAAGTCAAGTTTTCTCTGAATTGAGGGCTATCAAACATGCTTTTGAGGCTGCACATACTAAAAACAAACAAACCACCATGAATGTCGTTTATTATGTCAATATGTCTAACTTCTTAAATTTTCAAATATAAATTTCAACTCGGTAGCTAATCTGTCCCAAAAACATACCATAATGACATTCCACAAGTAATTAAATTTAATTTAAGCATGTGGTGATGATTTAATCATGTACCATGGGATAGTTCATATTTTAGGGATCTGGAAGCCCATATGAAGCTTGCAATGTCACATGCATTGATAAATTTCTTTTGGAATAATATATGGTTCACTGCTATACTTGTAAACTATTTGTGGATTTCGATCTTCAGTGGTTAACCACAAAATATGCTACTAAATCATACAAGAAGGTTTCTAACCTATAAGGAAATTTAACAACATCAACTGGAGGTAGATGCTTCAGTAATTGCTGTTGTTCCTCATTTGTCAATTGCCTCGTAAACTCTTCAAAAGTTAAAATATCCTGCACCAAACAAGGACTGAAACTATATAAGGGCTCAAAATTGAACGAAGGACAACTATTCAAACAGATGAATTACGAGCTTGAAAATATAATAGAAACTCCAGACGCTGTTGCCAAGAGGAAAATAGTTGTAAGTTTTACAACCTAAACATGTTTGATAAATCACAATACTGGTTAGGATGAAAATTTACACATACATGGAACAAGTCACATCACTAAGCTTTCATTAACTTGTTGAGATATGATATGGGGTACATAAATTTAACGGCGAATATTGTCATGAGGCTTATTACTCTTTAGTAACAAAAAACAAAGGAATTTGAGGGAACTGCTTTCTTTTGTAACATACAATTCAACTTACATTTAAATCTACATGACGCAGTGGTGAATTATGGTTTCCCAAGATTTGAAAGTTGTCAAGTTGAGACTTATCCCTGCAAATCCAAACGATAACAGTATTAGTTACGGTGTGAGAAATCGATTTTACATCACCTTTCTTTCTCCAAAGTATCTGCTACTTTTAACTGCATGCAGATACTTCATATACAAATTTATCACAGAAAAAGCCGTATTTCCATCCTGCTACCACTAGATACTTAAAAATGATCCATGACTCGCAAAAAGGTCGGTTACTTTGTGTTTCTAAGGTAGTTGCTTAACCAAAAGTCCTAAATTTCTTTCAGAGCTTGATAATTACAAACACCTATCAACATGTACAAAGCATTGTAGTTGAGCAATATCACTCATGTTTGTCCTTTTGACATATAATTGACAAAAACACATATCAAAGTCTGTTAAATAGTACAGGAGAGTATTACCTTTTCAGTGGTTCATGTTGCATTCCTTGTCCTGCAACATTATTCATCCTTCCAGATACAGTACTGGCCATATTGACACCCTTATTATTATGTACAAAAAGGGTTGCAGAACGGGAATAAACCTCATTTGCAAGGCACTGTTTATTATCAACCGAGATCGAGCTAGCTTCAGATTCCTCTTCTCGTGCTATTGAGTTGGGATGCCTAATCAGAACACTTCCATGGCCTATCTCAACAGAAACCATTGGCGTTTCACTCTCAAAAAGCAGATCCTCTTCAGAAGACCCGGAGAAGCAGGAAGACTGTTGTTCATGTAAAATAGTATACAGATCCTTTGTGAGCTTTTCCACAGGAGATGGCTTAAGACGGCCTATACAGGTCCTTTTCCTAGAAGGTACCATTGAGTCCCATACCATCGACTGCGCAGGACCTGGAAAAGATCACTCAAACGATTAAGAACAGTTAAGAATTATTAGGTTACGTTATGAGAGATAATTTCATGAAGGATTGGAGGCCAATCCTAGAAATAATTCAATGTGCACAAAGTATTGGCGGCCAACTGCCTGAATAAGAGATTCTGAAATCACTTGACCAGTGAATATTTTCTTTTAGTGGTTCAAAGGAGGCCTAATTAGAAAGGAGGATAAGGTTGATCTCTGATCATGGACGTGCGAGTGCTCTACCACTAAAATCTACTACATTGGGCATGAGTTTCATCCTTCTTTCACGTTCTCGGTAATTGTCACCTTAAATCTAATAAGATCGAAGTAGGCTAATTTTTCATAGATAGAAAAATCAGAGGAAAGTTCAAACATCTTTAATTGAATATTAACTGTCAAAAGTATCCAACCTGTCAAATCACTAGCATCTCCACTGCCAAATTGTGCGCAGCTCTCAGAGTTAGACACGGCAGACCCAGAACTGGATCTATTACTTTTATCTTCTTCAATTATCTTTCGGAAACCATGGGAATAATCAGAATTAACTCCTCCAATCACCATACTCTCAGGATTCTGCTTTCTTTTAACCAGTTTTATTTCTTTGTTTTTGTTTACAGATATGCTCTTCACCCTAGAAACTCTGTGATCTTCAATATCATCAGGTTCTGCTCGAGCGTGTAGAGGAGTGTAATTTACTAGTGTTCCCTTAGTCCTCCATCGAGATCCACAAGCATTGCAAAGTACTGGCTTGTCGGGTGGTCCATTGCGCCAAAGAGGAGTGCCTGTTTCAATGCCCGGTTGTCAGCATTCAACGCGCAGAAAATTACTTAATGCAGATGAAAACAGGATGTAAAGCAGCTAAATATATTTGAATGAGCCTAATTATTTCTCTTAAAATGGAAAAACTACTCGTTGCCACTTGCCATTACTCTCGAAGCATATCTATTCCAAGTTAATTGTCGTATCTATGTAACGGATAAAAAAAAAAAAAAAAAACACGCACACACAAATTGCTTTAAATAATTCACAAACGACAGATAGTGACCACGGACAAATGAAGGCTACCCTGTTTTAGTTATACTGGCAGAATTTCAAAAGGCTAATCAAGGCACAACAAGTGTGTAACGTTCAACAATCAACACCACCCTTTCCCTGTGCTCAGTACGAGTAGTAGCCCTGAAATTCACTTCTACAAAAAATGATAAAGCTACTGCCCTTGTTTACACTACTGATTATACATGACAAGACTGAACACGAACCTTACAAGTTAAACCATAGAAGACACTAAACAAAGATTTTAGTCACAGAGAAAAGATAATGGCATTTCAGAAAGAAAAAAAAAACATGGATGACGATTCATTTTATTAGGCGGAATAGAGTTGTTGGAGTTGAATTTTGAAGAGATAAGAATCTTGGAAGTCACAGCGACTACACTTGCAACAAATGCACTACAAACTAAGTTCAGAAAATGGTACAAAAACGTTCGGGAATGACAAGGAATGGTGCAACTTCAACTGGAAACTAACTCTATTACAATACATATAATTTCAAGTGCAACTTATCAGTTTCAAGGTTTAAACTTGAGAACAAGTAGCATTCAAATAGATTGACTCCACAAAATAGCGCATTGTAGAACATTTTTGAACAATTACACAGGAAACTTGACCGAAAGCTAGAGAAGCAATGCAATTACTACATAGTTGGAAACATGGTTAACAAGGAGTGTGGGAAACAACACTGTCGCTAACTTACGGAATGGATAAACAAACTGAAACATGGGCATTGCTAAACGTACATTCGTTGACATCTGAATCATTTTACAGACACAAGTATTTGCTCTGACTGGGTATTTTTGGGATCATAAGGACCTCAAGAGCAATGAGCAAGTATACAAAATCAGACATTACTCTATAGTTCCTCATTACACAACAGATTACAAACTCAATATGCATTGCAGGACATGTCGAAATTCGAGTGAGAGTCAAAACCCAATCAAAATAAGTAAAGGGTTGAAAAATGTCATTGAACACAATCAAGCTCAACCCAGTACAGCAAATTCAAATAAACAAGGATGCTGGAAGTAGTGAATTCATAGGCAAACAAAACAGGTTTTCACTTTTCGTCACGCTTTCGCAAAGTTAATCTCTTCTATTCTGTGATTCCAATTCATTTCTGTGCATAACAACCAGTTACAAAATATATGCTCCGAACAACAATTGAAATGAAACCCAATTTTTTTTCAGTGCTCAAAATTAAAAGAGCAAAAAGAAAAAATGGAGAAACAAGAACTCACTTGTGACTCCACAGTGATAGCAAGGTCCTTGCTTGCCCATGTCTCTCTCTCTTTTACTCAACTCAAAAAAATACTAAATTCAACCAAATTTTACAGAAAGAAAAAAAAGAGGAAATTTATTGGGCTAAAAAGTGAAAAATAATCAAAATTTGTACAAAAATAAGATGATTATTCTCTCCAACTTTTTTTTGGTGGCATACAATACCAGTGAGCTTTTCTGCAGCAAACCCAGAGAGAGATTGCAGAAGAAAGCAAAAGCCAAAAGACCCAGAAGAGTTTTATGTCTTTTAGTCCCAAAAATTCACAGAAAATATGGAAAACAAGGAAAATTCAGGGATTTTTTAGATGGGGTTTTAGCTGGGAATCTGTACAATCCAATGGAAGAGAAAAGATCATTACAGGAATCTCATAAATGGTTGTGAAAAGGGAAGATGAAATGTGAGAGAGAGAGAAAGAGAGAGAGAGAGAGGAAAGAGAGGTTGAGTTGTGTGTTTGTGTTGTTGTATTGTATATGAAGTAAATGTTGAGCTTTCTTTTCTTTGCTTAAATTTTTTTTTTTTTTTTTTTTTTTGTTTTTGGACATTGAAAGATTTCTTCAACCTTTTTATTACCAGTTAAAAAAAAAAGGAGGAATTAAATCTTTTTGTTTTAATTATTTTTAACCAGTAATTGTTGTGATATGAGGGGTAAAAGTAAAGACATATTATTATTGCATATTTCCTGTTGACTACAGCCATAAAAATCTTTGCTTCCACACAAAATTTGAAAAACAATTTGACTAGAGAAATAAAATTAATAAGAAAAAATAAGGAAAAAGATAAGCGGTAGCCAATAAGAAAAAAAAACGAAAAAATAAAGAAACAAAAAGAGTCTGTTTGACATTTTATTTTCTTCCTCATTCCATTTCTTTCGCTTTTTGTTTGAGAAATGAATTACATCAAGAGAGAATAGAAAACAAAATTAAAAGCGAAAGGTAAAAATTGTGAAATCAAAAACCATTCCGCTTCGATTTTTATTTTGTACTCAATTTTTTGGTATTTTATGTGTTTGTGAATTGCGATGACATGATGCTGATGATATTAGTATGTTTCTTTATTATACAAGATAGTAAATTCCAAAATAACCTGTCACACTACCATTGGTAATCACAACAGTAACCTCTCACCTTAAATTTAGGGCAAAATGTTAAATGAGGGCCCCGTCAGATGTTAGCCACGTGGCTTAATTTTTGTAATCCGACGGTGATGTAGAAGCTGTCAACTGTTACTGTTTCTGGTGGTCACAGAATGTAATCTACAGAACCCAAAATGCAAAAGCACTACCGCATAAAAGGGAAATTTCCGGTTTATTTCAGAAAAGTCTCCCTCTTTTTATTTTTATTTTCTTGTTTAATACTTTTATTTAATTTTCTCAAAAAAAACATACTTTTATTTAATTAATTTCGATTTTTTGTGAAAAATAAAGAAGACAGAATTATACAGTTCCATGATGCATAGTGGGTATCTCATGAATTGGACTCATTTGGTGCCATGTGGTCTCTTTTATTTAATTAATTTTTTGTTAGCTATGGGCCCTGTTAGATCTAATTTGTACAACATGAACGGGTACACCACTACGATGACGTTTCAATACAATAATTTGATTGAGTTATCTTACCACATGATATCTTGTTATACGAATGTAATGTCACCGTGACGATGAACTCAATCTATTTAACTCTTTCTAAATAAGTATGGGAAACTTTGCCGTCTCTTTTGGGTCAATCGTTGGGAGCAACATTGGCCATCTGATTGCCTGGTCCGTCCTTCAAAAGATTTTGACCTGTGCCCAACTTATACGCACAAACCACGCCCTGTTGAAATCATGTTCTAATCCGACGGCTTAGGACCATATATTCTAAGATGCACATAAGATTAGAGAAATTCAACTCTCCAAATCCTAATGACCAATTCCATTAAGTTTTTTCTTAAATGAATAGAAATATCCCCCTTCATTTGTAATTATAACTTATTGACAAAGAAAGAAATTATTTTCATAAATTAAGTAGTAAGAAAAGGAAGGTTACAGTGAAGTAGTTTATGAATGAGTGAATATAATTCAAGTAGTGTTTGTCTGTATGGACATGTTAAACATGAATTACTGATCAACATTTAGTCCGAAACGTGAAAGCTAACACAACTCAATGACTCAATATGCATCAAGTGCTCACAAACTAGCACAACTCGTAAACCAATGGTTCACGAACGGCATGTATCCAGTAAAATCTTATTGGAAAAACTTATTGTTAGTTTAGATGTGTACTTTTATTTATTTATAAAATGATAGTGAAAGAGTGTTCATAATCACTTTTATAAGCTTGCTTGGAAGCATATGTGTGCTTTCAGTTTGGTATACATCGAACCTTTTAATCAGATTGAATCCGTGAATCAAGGCCCTTCATTTTATCAATCGGACTCAATGAGAAAAACTCTCCATCCAATAATCCTCACCCTCTGATTCTCAAACTTCCCTTAACACAATACATCTTACCTACTCCATGTTTTCTACAATCTTTTCTCAGTGTGCAATAAACAATGTGGATTTGGTTATGCTACCTTGTCACCTTAAAGAGAAATTCTACCATTAAACACCCGAGTTAAGAATGACTTATATGACATGAGTACATAGTTATTGTAGTGTTTCATGTCAAGAATAAAACGCAATATGTAAGTTTTTTTTCACATAAAATTATATCATTGGCACAAGACGCTACAATGACAATATATTGATGGAATGTAAGTTGCTTTCTCCCATAACACGTGATTGTGTTGTGTGGCACTACTCATAGAAACAACAAACCCCCTTGTATTTGGTTTCACCCACCATAAGTTGGACTTATCCAAGTCAGTTTGATGCCATATGAAGGTACATGCACATAAAAACTCCTTCATATTGATAAGAGATTCTTTCATGTCATAGTTTATAACGTGCCATTGTCTATTAGACAAATAATGCACTTTTTTTAGGAAACTTTAATGAAAAACTCTCGGTACTATTCATTTTAACGAAAAACCACATTTTTACACTAAAAAGTCAATTCTGATACTATTCACCTTACCCTTTATTTTGTCTTTATCGTTAAAACTCAAAGTTTTCAAGCCATTTTCATTAGTTTTCCCTTTTTTTTTATAACACGTGGCACATAATTGTTGAACAATGACACTTATGTGACTAAGGGGGTGTAGTTTATTAAGATTTATATCGACTTTTGTTGAGTTTTATAAATTCACAGATTTAAGTAGACTTTTACTGACTATTATAAACGTTTTAAAACCTCATAGACTTTAATGATTTACTTTTGTGGAAAAGAATGAGTTAAATGATGGACTTTACCAGAATTTTAGAGAGTTTAGTGCTAGAACTTTTTAGAATTCTAGTTGTCATAGACTTTTAATGACCAATTTATTGATAAGCTTTATTTTTTCTAAGTTTTTACTATTGAAATGGTGATGATGACCATGACAAAGTAGTCTTATGAGGTGGTGGTGACAACGATAGTGGGGGAAGTGTCACGTGGTGATGATCAGCAAGATGGTGGTAGTAAAGTTGGTGTCTTTAGTGGCGTTAATCATAATATGGGTGTTGATTGTGGTGGCGAGGTGTTGTTGGGGTGGTGGAGGAGTAAGGATATGGGTTTGGTGATTGGGTGGTGATGACGATGGTAGAGGCGGTGGTCACGGTGATGGTGGTGTCGGTAGTGGTCATAGTAGAATTGGCAATGATGCTCATAGTAGTGACGGTGGTGGTGGAGATGGTGACAGTGGTGCTTGTAGGAGTGGAGGAGTGGTCATGGTAAGGTGGTGTTGGCGAGATGGTGGTGGAAGTGGTAATAATAATAGTTATTGCATAGTGGTGGGCAGTGAAGTTTATCATTAGAGAATTGAGAAATAATGAAATCGATCAATATCTTAGGAGTAGAGGTTGAATTTGTTATGATGGCAAAAAATTTACCATAAAAGCACTAAAAGTCCATCAAAACTCGATTCAATACGTGATGACTTTTATTGGCTCACTAAAACTCTATTTTGAGTGCACCTAGATTTCAGAGTCAAGCAAATTCCCTCAAACTCCACATACAGTACACCCCATAAAATTTGATTGGATGAGAAAATGTGCTATATTACACTAATGGGGATTTTGCACAAGTACCACCTGAGCTTGCAAGCATGTGCACCAATACCACCTAAACTTTCAATTTTTAATTTTTACCACCTAGATTCTCTCTTAACTGTTGGAATCTACCACCTTCATTAAAACATGCCAGGCGCCCGTCTTGTGGAGATGTATATTTGTCAATTTATTTCCTAGAGATTGCTGGAATCAATTTGTACAAAGGCAAAAGACATTTTTTTTGTAGCAGCATTAGAATCAGGTCATGAACAGAAAGAGTGAAGTTAGATTCAAGTTTGATTTTGTCGAGAGTTGTTGAAGGATTGAAGTGAAAATTGATTGCTAGCATCTACATTGGCATTAAGTGAAGAGGGTGGAGTGTAATGAGTTCAGATTTGGGTAGAAAATTGTGTATTTTATGTTGTTTTTAAGTTTTATGGAATGAAAAGTATCATGCATAGAAATTATGCAAAAATCTAGTCTTTCGTTTACAGTGAGTCCAGATATTTTTTGCAAGTCAGCAAGTGAGTGTGTGATTCATATTAATTATTTAAATATTAATTTTTCAAATGCTTGTGGAGGGAATTACAGAATTGGGGCTATATTAACCCCCAATTTTGGAGTCATATTGACTCAGGCGGTTTATCTTAGAGCCAATTTGATTCTTGCCAGCCCCATGAAGTTAATTGATAAAAATATCCCTACAGGTTACATATGTTTTAATAGCAAAATGTAACCAAATCATTTAGTTGCGGTTCGGTTCGGTTTTAAACGGTTTTGGTTTTGGTTTCAAACCATTTACAAACTAAATGCTTTATGCCATTAATACAACCCAATTGATAAAAAAAAAAAAAAAAAAAAAAAGAAGCATGATCACTATACTAAAATTCAACTTGACTATTATAAACGTTTTAAAACTTCATAGACTTTTACTTTGTAAAAAAGAATTTGAATGATAAACTTTACCATAATTTTAGAGAGTTTAATGCTAGAACATTTTAGAATTCAATGGATTGTCATGGACTTTTTAATGACCAATTTATTAATAAGCATTATTATTTTTTATGTTTTTACTATTGAGATGGAGATGATGACCATGACAAAGTAGTTTTATGAGGTGGGGGTGGCAATGATAGTGGTGGAAGTGTCAGTTGTGATTATCAACAAGAAGCTGGTAGTAAAGTTGATGCCTTTAGTGGCGGCGATCACAATAGGGGTGCTAATTGTGGTGGCAGGGTTGTTGGGGGTGGTGGAGGAGTAGGGATGTGGGTTTAGGGGATGGGGTGGTGATGACGATAGTAGAGGTGGCCGTCATGATGATGGTGGTGTCAATGCTAGTTATAATATGGTTGGCGACGATACTCATGGAAGTGATGGTGGTGGTGGCAATGGTGATAGTGGTGGTTGTAGGGGTGGAGGAGTGGTCACGTTAAGGCGGTGTTGGCATTGTAGTGGTTGTGGGGGTGGAGGTGTGGTCACGGTAAGGCAGTGTTGGCGAGATGGTTGTGGAAGTGGAAATACAATTGCTTTATTTTGCAAGTAAATTAATTTTGAATCAAATAACATTTCTTCATTATGTGGGTATTTTATTTTGTCTGTATCATCATATATATTGGGCACATTTTATTATTATATGTACAAATAATAGGTAAACTAGTATTGAATAAAATAATAACATTTTTTTATGTAGGTATATTATTCTGCATATATTTGGGTTTGCTTTATTATGTAGGTAAATTATTTTGCATGAATTTTTATGTATATCATGCACATTTTTTGTTGTTGTTATATATATATGTGTGTGTGTGAAATAATTTACCAACATTTATATGTACAATATAATTTTATTGACTTAACTAAGCATGTATTACTACATTTATTAGGCATGATTTATTGTTATTATATATTATGCAATGAATTTATTATTTTTTTATTTTTGTAAAATCATTAATTCTCCCTTACAATTTGTATGGAATTAATTGTGTAAATCAAACATTCAAATAGGGGTGTTTTGGGCATTGAAATTTTTTAAATGTGTAAAGTTAAATATAATTAATAAATTTGCTGATGTGGAATCTAGTCAATAGGTTTTATTCCAGTAAAAAACTTATGTCGGGTTTTATGTGGAGAAAAATAAGTTTCAGGGACTAAAGTCATATTTTCAGTAATAATAATAGTCATTGCATTATGGTGGGCAATGAAGTTTATCATTAGAAAATTGAGAAACAATGAAATCCATCAAAATCTTAGTGGGGAGGTTGAATTTGATATGATGACAACAAATTTACCATAAAAACACTAAAAGTCCATCAAAATCCAAGAATTTTTAGATCCTTACAATGAATAAAATTTTAAATACACCTGAAATTTTTAGACACACAAAAAGTCATAATTAAGTACCACAAAAATTTTATAGACTTTTTATAAGTCATAAAAAGTCTTTATTCAATACATGATGACTTTTATTAACTCCGTAAAACTTTATATTGAATATATCTGGATTTCAGAATCAAGCAGAGCCCCTCAAACTCCAAATACAATACACCCCTAAAAATTGTTTGAATGAGAAAATGTGCTATATTAAATTAATGAGGATTTTGCACAAGTACTATCTGAACTTGCAAACATGTTTGCCAATACCACCTAAACTTTCAATTTTTAATTTTTACCACCTAAATTCTCTTAATTGTTGGAATTTACCACCTACGTTATTTTCTATTCAGATTTTCGTTAAAACATGTTAGGCGCCCCTCATGTGGAGGTATATTTTTGTCCCCATTTACTTCCTAGAGCTCGCCAGGATCAATTTGTATGAAGGCAAAATGCATTTTTTTGTAGCAACATTAGAGTCAGATAATGAACAGAAAAGGAGAAGTTGATTCAAGTTTGATTTTGTTAATATTTGTTGAAGAATTGAAGTGCAAATTGATTGTTGGATCTACATTGGCATTAAGTGAAGAGAGGTGGAGGATAATGAGTGCATTATCACTAAACTAAAATTCAACTTGAAATAAAGTTCAACACCAAAATACCTTATGACATTACTTTAGTACAACCCAGTTGAAAAAGTTAAGCTTACCGAACTAAAACTAAAGTTCAAACAAACTTCAACATCAAAATGCCTGAAAAAAAATAAAATTGTTCATGCAAAATAGTGCTTTAACTTTTCAAGCACTATTTTGCATCATTCAACCTTTCTCTTTCCCTTTCTTTTTGGACGCTTAATCTTTGAAGATTGAGGAGGCCCTTGAGCTTGTGAACGGGCTTGATAAGGTGATACTTGGGAAGACTTTGGACCATGTGAAAGTGAAACCGATGGATGAGAAGTCATTGAACCTTGTGAACTAGAAGCTTGAGATTATCTTGGAGCTTGTAATTGTGGTTGTTGATTAAGAGTAAGACAGATCTGGCATTCATGTCGTGTTTTCCATGTTCGTGTCGTTTTCATGACATATCGTATCCTGTAACACTCATTAAAGTAAATGGATAATATGACCCGACTCAAAATCGATCCGTTAATATTATCAGGTAATATGATCCGACCCGTTACCCGTTAAAGAAAATATATTTTAAATCAATAAATAATGAAAAACATAATTTGACCCCAAACAAATGGAAAACATAATATTTATATGCATACAACACTATCACGTAAATATTACTTCAAAATATTAAAATAAAAAAAAAAGGAATTTATCTTTCAAGTATTACATTCTCCAAAATAAGAGCATAATGAAAAAAATATTAGTATATTACTACAAAATACCAAATGTTAAAGAATATGTAAAATGAATGAAGTTGCGTTTCAAGGTTGAGAAACCTTGTACATTTATATATGCTTTCACATTTTTTAGACTTGTACATTAATGATTATGAATTTTATTTATTTCGAACTCTCTTAAAATATTATTCATGAGGTTTGTATGGTTTTAAAAATTTAAACGATGTTGTACCTATACTTAAAGCGTAGAGAATTGATCACGAGCGTTTGCATATTTTTTCACATCGTTCGTACTTGTAAATTAATTATTATAATTTGTAATGTGTTTGGTATTTTTAAATTACTTGATATTTTTACTTTTAGTGTGTTTTATAAATTTTCATATCACTCTTGGCCTATACTATACTATAAAAATTAATAAATAAATAAAATTTAAATGTTTTAAATTTATATAGAATAATACAATAATACATATTTAATACAATATATGACACACCCCGTCCCGAAGGAGGGCATGCTGGCCGTCACGTGAGAGTGACGTAACCATTTGCACAGTACGGAAGCTTTAAAGATACAATTTCTAAGATGAAACACCCAAAGGTGAGTCCTAATTTTTGGCCATTCTGTCAGAACACCGTTGAATTTCCTCGTAGTCACCACACCTTTTCAATTCTTGAACCTGGAGGGGCGCAAAACAAAGTTGAGTGGGTCAGCAAAACGAACTTATTCAAAACCTTCTTTTCTCTTTGAATATACTAACCCCTCGCCGTAAAACAAATATAGTTTCCCAGAAAATAAACATATATACGTATGTATAGATATGCCAGTCATGCTCAAAGATATATCAATCATGCTTGCAATATGCCATTCATGCTCGAGAATATGCCACAACAGAATCTCATAATCAAATGTAAATGCTCAAGCATAATTCACATCAATAACATATAATCTGGCAGCCGGGAGTCACCTAACGTGACATGTACCGCTGCATATAGAGCTCCAATCTCAACTCATCATCTGAATCTGCACACGAGTCGGAACCACCTAACGTGGTCTGTACGACAAGACTGGGTGTAATATATACGCTCTAGTGCTACGATCACGTGAAGACTGTGCGAATAATCGCGGGTCACCTACGAGTCGGAACCACCTAATGTGGTCTGTACGACAAGGCTTGCACCTAACTTGGATCCAAGGCGAGCGTGTGGTGCTGGTGAACATCACGTGAAGGACTGTGCCCTGGCCCTGGGCGGGAGCACTAACACCGGGGTGCAGATTATGAGCTCTCTAAACATCTCAACTACTAATATTGCATACCAACATGAATACCACTTACCTGGCACTTACCTGGGCCTCCTCAGCACCATGCAACAGTATGCATAATTATGGTAATGCACATATTAAAATATGATGCATATATGACAGGATATTTAATTCGTATTTCTTTTAAAAATACGTTTTCTGGGAAATACGTCAAGCATACGTATATATATATATACTGAAAAATAACTGCCCACTCACATATCACATCGACGTCTCGTAGGTCCCTGAGCCTCCCCTAGATTGGTTACATTCTTCCTCTGTATAATTTTCACCTATACAAAAAGTAACCAAATTGACGTTATTTAACACGCATACACCAAACATTCGTCCATAACTTTCTCATACGTTACTCAATTTGGGTGTATGAATATACCACGGTGATCTACACGACGTCACGAACGCGTGACAATTTTCAGAACTCAATTTGGAGCTCTCACGCGCCCCCACGCGCACTGTTCACGCGCTGCCCACGCGCGCGTCTTCTTCCTCGCGTCGCCGGACTGGTTTCGCCGGAAATAGTGTTTTGCCGGAATTTCTGGGTAAATTTCAAAGTGTCATAACTTCTTCATTTCTTAACCATTTTCAACGTACTATATATCAAAATGAAGGTATTGACGAGACGAACACATCCATACCTGTCTCGACCCCTAACTCGCCGTGGTTTCGCCGGAAAAAGCCCCGACAGCTCCGGCCAACTTTGAACACGACGATCCCGACGTCCAAACTTCTCCAACGAAGTACTCCGAGGCTCCTTGGGACCTCACTAACACATCTACAAGCTTCAAAAGTCCAAAAACTAACTAGATTAATCTTTCATGAACAGTACTCGAAATCGGAATACCTCGAATCGACACGAAAACGAAGGATTTCTCACCTGAAAATGGTATGGTTGCACTCGTACGAGCTTCACGAGTTCGATGGTGTCCTTAGTTTCTTCGATCCATCAAGGTTTGGGTGATTTGTGTGTTGTCCGTACGTTTTTGAAGAAAGAAGGAGGAAGAACGGAGCTTGGGAGAGAGAGAGAGAGAAGTGACAGAAAAGAGACAGAGGGAGAGGAAAACACGGGAGAGTGAAACGGGGTGTATGAGTGTGTGTGTGGTCCTACAACACCACACAACACAAAACTACACGTAAAATAACGAACTAGGGGTAAAATTTGTAATTTCAAATGTACGTTTCGATATTTCCGGGACGGGATGTCACAACCTACCCTCCTTAATAGAATTTCGTCCCGAAATTCAAAACAACCAATCAACAACCCCTAGTGGTCAAAGAACAATCTAGAATACAAATTCCTCGTCTGATCTTCTGTCTCCCATGTAGCTTCCTCGACTGACTGATTTCTCCACAAATTCTTTACCAATTACACTGTCTTAATTCTCAATACATTCTTTTTCCAATCCAAGGTCGTCCTTGGTTCCTCAACCAGTCTAATCCGGATTAATTCTCAATAGTTGCACCGGAACTCCATGTGACGAATCTGCCACCTAGTGACAACACATCGAAATATAATACATTATGCACCTTAGTCAATTCTGAAGACATCACCACTTGTATGCAACTTCATCGATTCCTTTAGTGGTCAAAAACGGTCTGATGTGTTTAAGACTTATTTTGTCTCCTTTCCAAATCTCACTATTTCTTTTCGTGATGAAATTTCTAAAAATGTTGAATCATGAAACACATCATGCTCTTACAATAACTCTGGAAGTAATTCAAGCAACTTCGCTTACTCTTCGATGATCACATAAAGTCCGATGTACTTAGGACTTAATTTGCTTTCCTTTCCAAGCCGTATCATTCTTTTCTAAAGTGAAAACTTCAAAATTATAAGATCATCTACGTTAAACACTCGATTAGTGACATGTTCAACTCTTAATCTCTTTTGCCATTCTTGGCTACTCTCAGGTTAAACTTAATCACCTGAATACTTTGAGAAGACTTATCCATAGTTTCAGGGCCTACCAAAACTCTTTCGTGATCGAATCTTCTCTATCCAGAAGCATTTCTTCCACAAATCAACAAAAATCGACACATTTCATGGTCCTTATGGCGTTACATCGGAAACTGCACAACCAACATACTTAAGAAACTCAGCAGTTCCGTAACCCAAATCTCTTCTCCATAAAACATATAAGTACTGTTGCACTGTGGTTGTTACTCAACACTGGAGTAAATGTACTAACTTGGTACATTGATCAACTATCACTTCAAGTTCAATCATAACCATCCTATTCTCGAACTCAGCAATCTTTCTTTTTCCCTTCTTTCTTTACCTTGGTTAATTCTTAATTTTCGTCGTTAACCATTTGAGTCTTGAGTACGACCTTACTAAAAAGACTTAACTTGAAAATTAGCAATTACAACTTCTTCTCAAACTTCCATTCTCAACTTTACTTCAGTTGATTTCCAATCCACAAGAAGACAATCTTAGCAAGCGTGCCAGACATTAATTCTTACCACTGTCTTTTCACCAAGTGCATCAGCTAGAACAATTTTATGATCACCCTGGTCGTACAATCATGTTCATTAAACAATTCAATCCACCTTCGCTGCCTCATATCAAAATCCTTCCAAGTAATGGATATTGGAGACTTTTTGGATTCGTAAAAATCTTGCATTCTTACCACAAATAATGTCTTCATAACTTCACAGCAAGAATGGTAATCATGATTTCCAAATCACCAGTAGGGTAATTCATTTCATGAGGTTCCTTTTGTCGTGAAACGTATGTAATCACCCTAACATTTGCATCAACATGCATCCAATACCATTCAAGAAACATCACTAAAAATTTATGATTACCACTATTCTCTGGGAATACTAAAATACGTGCATGAGTGAGGAAATACTTCAGTTGTTGAATCCTTTGCTCACAATTTCCTTCCCACTCATACATAACCTCTTTTCTCAACAATCTCGTCAATGACAAAGCAATGACTGAAAAATCTTTCACGAACCGTCCATGATAGCTTGTTAAGCTAGGATAACTCCAAATCCCAATCACGATTCGTGGTTGTTCTAAATTCTCAATTTCTGCTACCTTTTATGAATTCACTTGAATACCTGAAGCAGATATAACATATCTCAAAAATGCTACTTGATTCATCCAGCATTGGCATTTGCTAAGCTTAGCATATAATTGACGTTCCCTCGATCTTTGCAATACCAATTTAAGATGTTTAGCATACTTTGCTCTTGTCTTATCAATCTTTTCAATAGCAACAACAACAAATCGGTCTAGATATCATTGGAATACTTTATTCATCAAATTCATAAAGTAGTAGATGCATTCATCACTCCGAATGGCATCACCAAAACTTGAAATGACCTTAACGAATCCTGAAAGTTATCATAAGGGCATCCTCACCGATAATCTTCAACTAATAATATCCAGACCTCAAATCAAACTTAGAAAATATACAACCACCTAGAAGCTGATCAAACAACCATCAATGTGAGATTACGAATAACGGTTTTCAATTGTTACTCGATTCAACTGCTTATAATCAAAGCACAGCCTTAACGTCTATTTTCTTTCTCACCAATAAACTGGGGTTCCCCCAACGTAATGTACTAGGTTGAATAAAAACCTTTATCAACCAATTTCCAATTCTCTTAGTTCAAAAGGCAACATTCTATAATATAAGGTTTGTACCTGGAGATAAATCAATAGTGAACTTTACATCTTTGACTGGCGGCAATCCAGGTAAATTCTCAGGGAAAATGTCAGGTAAATGTTTGACTACTCCCACTTCTTCCACACTACTAGGAGTGACATCACTTAGCACCACATGATATAAATATCCTTGGCAGCCTTTTGATAATAATCTCTTTGCTCTCACAGCATAATTAACGGTCTGCCTCACTTCACTTTGCATACTTACAAAAGTAATCTCTAGTCATCCAGACCGATGGAAAATAACATATAATCAATTCAACATTCAGCTATAAACATAGCTCATACTCTTTCATTCTAATCAACTCAGCCCTCGGCTGCATATATAACTCATACTTAACTCATCATATCCTGTATATCTTGCACACATTCAGTACCACCTCGCGTGGTCTGCAACTCGTCACTGTATATAACATAATATGCTCTAGAATAACATCGAAATCCACAATCTAGTGAAACAAAAGTAGCTGGCAACAATATATGCTCTACTATTACTGAGCACTCTAAATAAGTACGATACTAACATAAGATAACCTACCGGTTTGCTTGCTTAACGAATCCACGAATAAGTTATTAATATTACGGTCTGCAGCCCGCAATACTGATAAATCATCGTTGTCTCGATAAGTAAGCAACAACTCTCGAGGGTGTAATATTACTATTTTGCCACTCATTAGAAAATACATACACACGTCTCAACCGCGTTTAAATACTACTTTCTAGGCAATAACAATAATAACGTAAAATTTCTACATTATTAACAAATAGACTCTAGCTAAGTCATTAAGAATAATTATCGTACTCCTAATCAAATCCGAATAATTCTGAGTATCTTGCAGTGATGTGTAGTTAACACATCCCTGGGCTTGTTGTTGTCTCCCACAACCTCTATTAGTGTAACTACTTCTTTCATGTACACCACGGCCTAACTGACCATAATTAATAGATCCAGGAACTTGCTGGATCGACACCAGTTGTGGCAAAGAAGACTGCTAGGGCTTCTGTTGGCTTTGGACATAATTTGCAGTTCTATGTCCCATCTATCCACTTGTAAAGCGTCCAATGCTTTCTCACCTACATTCTCAAAGGTGTCCATTATTGTACCTACAGCCCAAAGGTACATTTCTTTTACCAAAATCACCTTGTCTCTGAGATCTGAGATTACCAATACATCTATCACTTCACCTCTGGTCAATGGCATTAAAACCTTTGCCAAAAGAACTAGAATTAGCTTCACTTCTTTTGAAGTTCCGAATCTTTCGAGGTTCTCGAGATGACTGGCCTTTATCCTTGTCATCATTCCTCTGATTCCTATTCCTTTATTCTTCTTCATCATTATCGCTGGACATAATCTCAGAGTCCTTAAGGCTCAACAACATCTTGTATACTCCTGATAAGAATTACAATGGATAGTGGTCACCCAAAATACCACTGCCTTATGCCACCCAGCCTAAAACAATATAACACTTCAATCAAAATAGCAGCAATATTCGAATGGGACGAGGCAAGTCTGAGAACTTTCTATAATACTCAAACCAGGTAGTCGTCTCAACCCTTCTGTCAAAAGGAAGATTCCTTTGACTTGCATAATCTAAAACATCTTTTCCAATTGGTTAATCCATCACTTTGCTCCCTCAGGTTCATCATTTCATAAGGTGATTCAAATTCAACTCATAACCCATCTTAAAATGTCCCTTTTTGATAATATACTGAATCACCAAAATAATAGTTTCCCCTAATAGCTAAATCAGGGAGACTAAATTCCTCTAACTACGTGGTTTGCTACGAGGCGGTGTAGTTCTGACAGAATTCACTAGAACTTCTCAAGATGTCCAAGATTGAAACTTAGGCTCTGATACCAACTTGACACACCCCGTCCCGAAGGAGGGCATGCTGGCCGTCACGTGAGAGTGACGTAACCATTTGCACAGTACGGAAGCTTTAAAGATACAATTTCTAAGATGAAACACCCAAAGGTGAGTCCTAATTTTTGGCCATTCTGTCAGAACACTGTTGAATTTCCTCGTAGTCACCACACCTTTTCAATTCTTGAACCTGGAGGGGCGCAAAACAAAGTTGAGTGGGTCAGCAAAACGAACTTATTCAAAACCTTCTTTTCTCTTTGAATATACTAACCCCTCGCCGTAAAACAAATATAGTTTCCCAGAAAATAAACATATATACGTATGTATAGATATGCCAGTCATGCTCAAAGATATATCAATCATGCTTGCAATATGCCATTCATGCTCGAGAATATGCCACAACAGAATCTCATAATCAAATGTAAATGCTCAAGCATAATTCACATCAATAACATATAATCTGGCAGCCGGGAGTCACCTAACGTGACATGTACCGCTGCATATAGAGCTCCAATCTCAACTCATCATCTGAATCTGCACACGAGTCGGAACCACCTAACGTGGTCTGTACGACAAGACTGGGTGTAATATATACGCTCTAGTGCTACGATCACGTGAAGACTGTGCGAATAATCGCGGGTCACCTACGAGTCGGAACCACCTAATGTGGTCTGTACGACAAGGCTTGCACCTAACTTGGATCCAAGGCGAGCGTGTGGTGCTGGTGAACATCACGTGAAGGACTGTGCCCTGGCCCTGGGCGGGAGCACTAACACCGGGGTGCAGATTATGAGCTCTCTAAACATCTCAACTACTAATATTGCATACCAACATGAATACCACTTACCTGGCACTTACCTGGGTCTCCTCAGCACCATGCAACAGTATGCATAATTATGGTAATGCACATATTAAAATATGATGCATATATGACAGGATATTTAATTCGTATTTCTTTTAAAAATACGTTTTCTGGGAAATACGTCAAGCATACGTATATATATATACTGAAAAATAACTGCCCACTCACATATCACATCGACGTCTCGTAGGTCCCTGAGCCTCCCCTAGATTGGTTACATTCTTCCTCTGTATAATTTTCACCTATACAAAAAGTAACCAAATTGACGTTATTTAACGCGCATACACCAAACATTCGTCCATAACTTTCTCATACGTTACTCAATTTGGGTGTATGAATATACCACGGTGATCTACACGACGTCACGAACGCGTGACAATTTTCAGAACTCAATTTGGAGCTCTCACGCGCCCCCACGCGCACTGTTCACGCGCTGCCCACGCGCGCGTCTTCTTACTCGCGTCGCCGGACTGGTTTCGCCGGAAATAGTGTTTTGCCGGAATTTCTGGGTAAATTTCAAAGTGTCATAACTTCTTCATTTCTTAACCATTTTCAACGTACTATATATCAAAATGAAGGTATTGACGAGACGAACACATCCATACCTGTCTCGACCCCTAACTCGCCGTGGTTTCGCCGGAAAAAGCCCCGACAGCTCCGGCCAACTTTGAACACGACGATCCCGACGTCCAAACTTCTCCAACGAAGTACTCCGAGGCTCCTTGGGACCTCACTAACACATCTACAAGCTTCAAAAGTCCAAAAACTAACTAGATTAATCTTTCATGAACAGTACTCGAAATCGGAATACCTCGAATCGACACGAAAACGAAGGATTTCTCACCTGAAAATGGTATGGTTGCACTCGTACGAGCTTCACGAGTTCGATGGTGTCCTTAGTTTCTTCGATCCATCAAGGTTTGGGTGATTTGTGTGTTGTCCGTACGTTTTTGAAGAAAGAAGGAGGAAGAACGGAGCTTGGGAGAGAGAGAGAGAGAAGTGACAGAAAAGAGACAGAGGGAGAGGAAAACACGGGAGAGTGAAACGGGGTGTATGAGTGTGTGTGTGGTCCTACAACACCACACAACACAAAACTACACGTAAAATAACGAACTAGGGGTAAAATTTGTAATTTCAAATGTACGTTTCGATATTTCCGGGACGGGATGTCACAATATATATACACACACCCTATGACTATTGTATTTTTTTAGTAGTTTAAAGAATTGAAATCATTAAAATAACTTTTTCTTCTTAACGTGTTGAAATGGATTACCCCCATGTCACTTTCATGTAAACCTATCAAGGATCCGTTATTAACGGGTTCTTATTGTGTGACCCGATAACAACCTAATTAGTTATCGCGTTGACCCGTAACCTATTATTTTAGTGTCATTTATGTGTCGTGTTTATAAATCGTATAAGAAATTGCCAATCTAAGTAAGAGAGGAGATACTTGATTTAAAATTGGTCAAGTCTACACAGTACAAATACATAAACAATATAAATTATATTGGTTGTTATAAACTTTAGAAAACCTACAAAAGTAACAAAACACATTGAAAAAATAAAATAAATTTATATAGAATAATACAATAATACATATTTAATACAATATATATATACACACACCCTATGACTATTGTATTTTTTTAGTAGTTTAAAGAATTGAAATCATTAAAATAACTTCTTTTTTTTCTTAACGTGTCGAAATGGGTTACCCACATGTCACTTTCGTGTAAACCTATTAAGGATCTGTTATTAACAGGTTTTTATTGTGTGACCCGATAACAACCTGATTAGTTATCGCGTTGATCCATAACCCATTATTTTAGTGTCATTTATGTGTCGTGTTAATAAATCGTGTAAGAAATTGCCAATCTAAGTAAGAGACGAGATACTTGATTTAAAATTGGTCAAGTCTACACAGTACAAATACATAAACAATGTAAATTATATTGGTTGTTATAAACTTTAGAAAGCCTACAAAAGTAACAAAACACATTGAAAAAATAAAATAAAGCCAGCCTACAATACAAATTACCTAATATTTGTATTACATTAAATATTTATTTAATTTTACGGTGCGGTTTTAAATGTTCAAAACCGAAAGCAAACTGTTTTTCCATATTGCGGTTCGGTTTCAAACCGAAACCGTTTCAAAACCGCAAAAAAATCAAACGGTTTAGTTTGGTTTGTGCTTCGGTTTTAGTTTTCGATTCCAAATGCCCACCCTGGTATATTCCAAAAATTGAAAGAGTCCAGGTGATAAAAAAAATTAAAATAGAAAGTTCAAATGATAATATCACACATTCTTATAAGTCCAGTGATACTTAAGCAAAATCCCCTACATTAATTTATAATATAAGGTATATAAAATTATAAATAAATAAAAATATAGTAAATATTTAGTCATTGGTGGATCCCAAGTTGGAACTCATAAACTCACCCCTTCATCGACCAATTCTACCTTCTTTTATTTTCCTTTGTTTAGTAGTTTCCTTTCCTTTAAATAGGTGGCATATGATGTGAGCACTCACACAGCCAGAAACTTGTAAAAGATGAGACATAGTGGGCCCCAGAGAAGAATCCAACTCTACTGTATGCGGGTCCGACGAGGTCCACTAGTGCGACTTGTGTACATGCCAAGTGTAAAGAGGAGAGGTGAGGTTCATGTTTGGACCCATGCGCTGAGACACAGGTGAGTACTTATGTGAATAAATAACCCAAAAAAAAAAAAAAGGCCGGCTCTTTAATATTGGGAGCTTCAGGACATACTCTAATCTCCTTCCGGTATAAACAATGGGCACTAATGATATTCTCTGAAAATTGTATTTATATATTATATTTTAATATTGGGGAGAGTTATCAGTTTCGCTCAAACTAGATTCGGTTTAGACAATGTGGTCTTAAACTTCGGAAGAGGTTCTTCTCCTGCGCTCAGGATGAGAATTCTCCTGATCAGTATATTTAGACCGTTCAAATTTAATCCAACGGTTCTAAACAGGAGGACCTTTTAAAAGTTATAATAATTACAACCATTGGATTAAGTTTAAACGGTCCAGATAGGCTGGTCAGGAAGATCCCCATCCTGAGCTCAGGAGAGGATCCTCTTCCTTAAACTTCATTGAGATTCATATTTTTCTTAATACACTGACATATTTACATTAAGAGGTGAAGATAAAAATTGATATCAAATTCACTATAAACGAGATTCAAATTTAAACCGTTTAACTTGTAAATAAAAAAAAAATACCACTAAATCATATTTATTAGTTTGGCTGAATTGAAATTAAGGTAAAATAACACAATCCCTATACCTATCTAGTAAAACAAACAAGCCCTTGAAGTGTCCTAGAACCCGAATCTTCTGCTGGAATTCCCCTTCCCATATAATAAATAAAGGGTAGTGTTATCCATACATCCAATTTTACTTTTCGCACACTTCTCTCGATTACCGGATGTAGGATAAAATGAATTGAAGAAGACCAATGACAAAAATTAACAAGGATGTGGAAGGTAAATATGAGTATGTGAATATCTATCCTAAATAAAAAAATATTTGTGCACTTCACGATAATATGAGTGTGTGAAAGTGTTGTGAGTACGGAGATTACTTATGTATTGGTCAATATATTATGGTAATTACTTATTTCTTTTAAAATATAATGATATATATCTTATCATTCGTTGTTTACGTAAATAACTAATTAATTTACCATACATAATTCATTTGTTAAATACAGTAAGAAGTATTTTTTGTGTGTTTCGATTTAACAAAGAAAATATGTCATATATAAATATACCAGAACATGATATGGAATACTGATGTATTAAACTACTATGTTACTTATAATTCAATTTATTAAGAGCATTCATTCCTTGAACTAGAAGTCTTGACCTCTCGTTCACTATTCAATATCGCTTGTTTAAAACAAAAAATCTACTGTACCCTTTGATAAATAAAAAAGCTCATCAATACCAATGTTATAGTTAATAACATTTATACGTGATTGCATTACACAACCGATGTTGCTAATTACACTATGGATGTAGGTTATTACTAGGGGACGTTGTGAAATTACACAATGCAAGTCACTTATGACCTCCCTAGCTTAACTTATAACAATGTTGCAACACGAGGTTAACATTCAACTTGTGAATTATAAGAAATGTAAGGTTACACTATGTTCAAGTTACATTCCAAGGTTACATAATAATAGTAATGTCATAATTTTTATAGTAACAAGGTCGACATTTGCCTTGTGAGTGTCATATTACATTATAAAGATAAGATATTATACTTGGACGTAATTGCATTACACTACTAACGCTCACATTAAATGGTACCAACACCTTTACAAAAAGGTTTTTTTTCATGTCCTAAACTGTAATTCGTTATACGTAGAGTTTATAATAATAAAATTGTTCTTCCACCAGAGTATCACTTGACGTGTTCTTATTGAAACAAAATTATTTTCATGTCACATATAAAGCTTTCCAGGATAAAACTTGTATGCAAAGTAGTCTTGTTCCAGATCCTTATCTAACCCGTTCAGATTGACCGATTTAACAATGTACCTAATGTGCTTTTCGAATATTATATTTTGTTATATTTCTGAGCGCGTTAAACAGATTCGATTCAATATTTGAAGAATAAATTACATGATACAAGGCCCTTATCATTAATTTTCGTGTCAATAATTCTGTGTTAACTGTATATGACGTGTATATTGAATTGGAATATAAGTTTTACGTGGGGTGCAAAAATATTAGGCAAAGGCCTGTGCGCACTAGGAAGGTGAGCAACCTGCTTTTCCCCGGGATTAGATTTTAAAGCCATTGAAGCATCCTTTTTACCGTTTCAATCAAGTGGTGTCGCGACTCCAACTCTCGATAGCTTTTGGCTTTCCAAAGTCCACGCTGCCTCATCTCATCTCATGCATCACTTCGGAAAAAGAATTATCGCGGGTTCTTTTTTCTAGAAATTCTAGAGATCTTATGATTTCATCCGTTCATCGCAGATCTTGTGATCAGTTTTCGTTAGGTATTATTCATATTTAATTTTAAATTTTAAATTTTGAAATGATTTTTGATCGCACGATGTACGATGAAAGAATGAGATCATAGAATTCATAGAAAAATGATCCGGCGAAAATCCTTTTTCCACCACTTCGTGCCACATTTCACTGCAAACCCGGAAAGCAATGACACGTGGAAGGAGATCATTGGTTTAACATGACCATATTGAGCCCATTGATAGCGCTTGGTTGCATCATGGTTCATGCCAGTCCAAACCTACCTATCTGAACGAACGTTACGCGTGGGCGGGCCGCGGGCGACCACAAACAGCCTACTTTATTCAAACTAGCTTTTGTTTACTTAAATTAATTTAAAAAGAAGAGGTGGTACTCACATATTTTATGTTATAGATTGGGGGAGATAGTATTTGACGCACGATAAGATAATTTACCCTAAAAATATATATGTTTATATATTGTGAAAATAAATGAATATATAAAAAAATATGAATATAAAGGATTGAGTATGAGATAAACCACTCTCCGTAATAATCTTATACCTTCACTTTTAAGTATGAGATACCACTCTGCATTTATTATTTTCATTCCTTGATTAATTGTTAGTAAACATGTGAATGAAACTCATACTCATTCCTTTCGAATTCTTGATTTTTAGTAACACATTAATGAAAATGATACTCCTATGTAATCATGCCCTAAATACATCTAAATTGCGCCACTTAATACTATGATTTTAGTCATATTCATACCATGAAATAAATATATCATTGTATGGAAAAAAACATTTAAATTACAGGGAGAGGTAGAGTTTGAATCCGTGACACAATAGATCTAAAAAATATCATATTCACTAAGATATTTCACTACTTGCAGATGCGGTTATAATTAATATTAGTAAAAAAACTAGACACCCAAGCTTAAGAAGTAGGAAGAAATCATGGTTTTGTTTATCTATACATACATGACCACTATAATTGGAAAGGTTTCAATGAAAAAATCAGCATATTATGGAAATGAAAAAGAGTTTATCCCTTTGTTTAACCAATAACTGTCAAAGACTCAAAAGTAACTGAGTGCCTTTCTCTATCAATAGTAATGTATGGATACCTAACGTAAATACCTACATGCCTTCATGACTTCATCCTCCATTCTTGATCTATATTGTTTATATATATATATATATATATATATATATATATATATATGGAGGGTCAAAGACTCCAAGTTTTGGTATATGAAGGTTTTAATCTAAGTTTGAACTCACACTTTTATGCAAAAAAAAAAAAAAAAAAAAAATTACGGTTCTTGTTTCAATTTTTAGTTTGTGGTGGAAACTATATGTTTATTTTGAATTGGCAGCAAAATTTCTGAAAATGAATATTGTAAAGATTGAGAAAACTTATGATTATATCGATAATAAATAATTTACTATTTATCAATAAATGAATATTTATTAATTTAATAAGAAAATTTTGTTTTGTTTATAGTTTATTATTATTATTTTGACAAAAATATATGTTTTTTTTTAATAAAAAAGATGTATGATTTTTTTAAAACTTTGAGACAATTTAAGAACTAGAAGATGCTTGTTTCAAGATGTTCCATGTACATAAAACATAATCTCTTAGACTCCCTTAAAATGAGTGAGAAAATCAAGATTGATTGATGTGATAAGGAGAGCATTGTGGAGTATAATAATGAGCATCCCTCGTCACGTAGAAAAGATTAGTGGCAATGTGCTCAACAAAGGTTTCAGATCTCCGTCGGCCAATTAATAATATCAAACGCTCTTAAAAGGTCAACATATTATTTGTCAGATGAGGTGAAAAATGAATGTGGTGTATGCATTGCAAAAAATTAAGGGTGAGGTTTTTTTTATTTTTTTATTTTATGTCAAATGATAAATTTGTTAGATTGGAGACGACATGACTCAAATTCACACCATGGTGCAAGGACAACATTCATCTCTACCACTATGGTAGATGGCTATTTGTAGTTAAGGATGAGCTGAATTGAGAAAATGTAAATTGTTCAGTAAAAAATTCCTACATATATGTATTATGGGAATTTAAGTGTTAACTCTTTTATGTATGTATTATGAAATTGTACCTGTTAATTTTGTGTGTGTATTTCATTAATTATTAAAATCATATATTTTAAGGCCTTAAAGTATTTTATAGAAAATTATTATCTTATGCATTTTTTTAGTACAGTGACCTTAGTGGGGACCAAAATATTTTATTATTTAACCAGAGTTATTATTATATCAAAGATATATTTATTGAGGTTTTAGTATAGATACTTAATTTTTTTTTTTTTTAATGGAGAACAATAAAGTATTTCGAGTATTATGAATTTGACAATGTTTAAATGTGACATCCCACATCGCCTAGGGGAGTGATTCTTAAATGTATATTCCCATCCCTACCTAGCATAAGGCCTTTTGGGAGCTCACTAGCTTTGGGTTCCATGGGAACTCCGAAGTTAAGCGAGTAGCGCGCGAGAGCATTCCCAAGATGGGTGACCCATTGAGAAGTTCTCATGTGAGTTCCCAGAAACAAAATCGTGAGGGCGTGGTTGGGGCCCAAAACGGACAATATCGTGCTACGGTGGTGGAGCGGGCCCGGGAAGTGGTCCTCCCCCGGGCCGAGATGTGACATTAAACCTCAAGTGGCAAAGTTTGAAAACTCAAAGAGAAATCATAAACAACAATAACAGCAACAAACCTTATTCTACTAAGTGAGATCGATTGTATGATGAATCTTCAAACGTCATTGCACTTCTCATAATCGTTTCTTCTAACCGGTTCACGTGTCCAAACCATTATAACTGATTTTCTCTCATTTTATCTTCAATTACAGCCACTCCTACTTTACCTCGGATATCCTCATTATTAATCATATCATTTCTCCCATGCCCACATATCTAACGAAATGCTACACTCATTTTTTGAAATGTTGCTTTTTGGCCGCCCAACATTTTGTGCCATAAGGCATTGCTGGCCTTATTGCCGTCCAATAAATTTTCTCTTGAGCATTAGTGGCATACGACGATTGCACAACACTCGATGCACTCTTCTACTTCATCCATTTGGCTTGTATTTTATGTTTGTGATCTCCATCTAATGCTCTGTTATTTTGCAAGATAGATCTAAGATAACGAAAACATTCACTCTTTGATACTTCTTGATCTCCAATCCTCACCCTATCTTACTTGAGCCCCCGTTCTCACTAAATTTACACTCCATATACTAGTCTTTGACCTACTTATGCAAAGACTTTTAACTTCCACCGCTTCCAGCCAAAAGTTAAGCTTCCATCTTGTTTCATCTTGTCCATTAGTTAAGTTTGATTCATTTAATTAAATGATTAGAAATAAAAAAGAAATTATGAAGAGGCTAAAAATAATGCGAAAATCACTCCGCCTATGTACCCCTTCAATTGCATGTTAGACAAAGTGGAATGAGTAGAGTCCATCAAATTCAATTGAAAAGACTTCTGCTGCAAAGCAACGCTATTATTTTATGGCCCTTTTGAAATACGAATTGGACATATTAATAAAATAATTAAACTCACTGGAGTTGGCTTTTACTATCTCAATTAACAGAATCACACAGACGCCAACAAACAATACCGAACTAGAAATTCCAGACATCATAGAAATTCAACTTCTTCAACGGTAAGGCTTTACAAATAAGGGATGGTTAAAAATGTCTATCCAAAACTCATACGTGAAAATCAAGAACCAAAGTATAACCTCAATTAAAAGACGACCTGCTATATAATCACGTCCGACAAATACACAAAACCACGTCGGAAAAATTAACCATCCTCAACCATCCTCGATTTCTGTTAGAATAATATCCTTTCGAGAGGAATGAATTGACAACAAACATGCTGTAATGCGTTTTAACCAAAACTAGGAATGAACTCGCTACGACCAATTCAAATTGTTGGATTGATCGGCCTTATCAGTAAAATGCTTACCCCTTACCCCTAACTGGAAAAATGGCCCCTAGGTTAAAAGAAACTTGACCAGGCTAATTTCATTTTGTTAATGTTTCCAATATTCCAAGATCATATTTTCATTCATTTAGTTCTAGTCAAAAGTAAAAGTCAAACCTAAAAAAACCCTAAAAAGGCTTTAAATATTCCAAGATCATATTTTCATTCATTTAGTTCTAGTCAAAAGTAAAAGTCAAACCTAAAAAAACCCTAAAAAGGCTTTAAAATTACATGGTATGGTGAGTACGGTCATACCATTTTCTTTCCTGTAAAAAGGGCAAAATGGCACTCTCACAGTTGATTGGCTTGTGACCTAAGGAACAAGGGCTGAGTAGAAGCCATGACCGCACAGCCTAGTCTCCCAAAGGGCAAGAGGTGTTTTCAAAATTCCATACAGCCCTACAATTACTTAAGCCAAATTTTCAACTACCACATACTTCATTTGAAATTGGATTAGAAATTGGATTAGAAATTGGGAAGAAACGAAGGCAAGGTAAGAGAAGCGTGTTAAGTGTGGCGGTCACACGATATAAATACTCAGTAGCCAGGTCAAAACCCATTTTATAATCAAAGAAGTAGTAAAACTTGTAAGTACACTATGTACTTCGTTTATATTCATATCAAAGCACGGTTTTTGAAACAGTCAAAACTGATAAAACGCTCTTGTAGGAATCATCCTAAAGCTACACATATTCGTACTACAAAATCATCTCACCTAAGCTTCAAGGGGGCCGCTGTAGATGCTGGGTCTTGGGTCTTGACTCTTGGTTCTTCTGGTCTGTTTCCAATTTCTTTTGTGCTTCTTTCTCCGCTTCTGTTTTCTCAAGCAAAGCCTGCTGATGCATGGCTTTCATCATCTCCTTCATTGTCCTCTCCTCTCCTTCAAGTTGCGTTTTCATAATCATCTCAGCCTCTTTGTCAATCGGCTTGAAGTACTCTTCAATTTGAGCCTCCTGGTACATCAGCAGACAAAAGGACAAAAACAAATTAAAACAACATGACATTCTACATTGCTGGGATAAGCATCTGTTTAAAAGCAACAAGTATATTTGGGCCATATTCCCTAATGTTTCCGAAGGTTAACTTGTGAATTGTTTCCAAATGGCCTCACCGCCTCAGCAATGACAATAAAACTTACAGTTTCTTCCAGCTTCCTATTTAAAGTTTGCATCTCCTCGACCATACGGCGAACCTCCGATAATATAGTTTGTTCAGGAATCTTTCTTAAGGCTAACTTCCGCGCAGTTGCCTGGAGAGAGACAGTCAATAAATAAAAGAAATGGGGACAGTAAATTAGTACTCAAAGCATTAAGGCAACAAATGCCACAGATAATGTGAAAATCCTATTTACTAGAGGCAGTGAACGCTAAACCTGAATAAGACTAAAGCGACTGGGGAAAGAAAAGAAGGTACAAACCAAAGTAAGATATCCATATATAAGCTATTACATGCTGCTTAATTCTTAAGAAAAAATTCCATCGTAACTTGCATCTATTGCATATATTTTAGAGCTCGGAAAGCAAATATTATGCTTCTGAGTGTAATCAAGTTGCTTGTACCTGACTGATGAGCCAAACACTTTCATTTTCTCAAAATGCTTCAATAAGAAATTGGTGTACAAAGATGTGTTTCAATTGCTCCTCCATAATTAAAGTCCCACTTATTCTGCTGAACTTTTATCTTATCACCAAAAGTCAGACAGAATATAAACTCAGGGTTTAGGAGTAAAATTTTCACCTTTGTATCTGTATGTCCCTTCATCCTTTTGACGGTAACATCGTGGACACACAAGACAGCCAAAAAGTTTCCAGGGAATTTTCATAATCATTTGCCAAAGTACTTGAACAAGGTAAGCCTATATTACAGTAGTACATTTCCTGGATGAAAGAATGCCTAATGCCTATGCATTTGCAGTTTCGGCATTAACCTCTATGTTCAAGGGGTCTTTTTATCAGAAATTTATTCTATCACATTAACCGTTTCCAGAATAAGAAGCCAAGGAAAAAGAGAAATAAATAAACCAAGGGGAAGGGGATACAAATGGTGGCACTATTTCAGAAAGTAATGAAGTCTCAAACAAAGAAAGTCACGGAAGAAAAATCAAAATACACATGCTTCCCTCACACAACCAAAAAACACATCTTTGAATGCGTATGAAATGCATATCTAATAATTTTCTTCCAAAATGCTCATAATTTTGGGTGCACCTTATGTTTAGTCCTGATCTAACAAGAACCTAAGATAAAGACCTAAGTTAAGGTTATGAATCTCAGCTATTTACAAACGCCTGACATGTACGTACATCACCGGGACCGTAGGTCCTTATTGGATCTGGAAAAACAAACAAAAGTACTGTTTTCCCATTCTCCAATATGATTAAACCAACCGACGCATTTCCAACAAATTTTCAACTCTCCTTGCTCCATCATATAACTCTCCCACATTCCGTTCTTATTTAATTGAATTCATTTCAATGCTCATTTCAGCAACCAAACACCGCCTAAGCGATGAATTCTAGCACTCAAAGAAAAGGAACAATATGAACTCAACTCACATGTCCACAAAGATTGTCATCATACTTCATCTCAGCCTAATAATCTCCACATAATATGCCCACCATTTCATACAATTACGGAACAAAAACAGCGTCGATCGGACGGAAATGAAAGAATAACAAGAATTTCTCTAACAGAAGCTTAATTTTTACAAATGCAAGATCAACAAATAAATAAATAAAACTGACCTCTTTCAGGGGCTTTTCAACCTCCAACCGAAACGATCGGATTCTCCGTTCTTCGTAGCCGGAAAGAACCCTCGCATAGAACAGAGCTTTCTTTCCGAATTCAATCAGCTTATTCATAATTTTTCACTCTCTCATCCACCTCTTAACGCATCGATTTCAGCTCAAACGCAATCAAATCTTAAATTTAGGGCATTCAAAGCATCCTAATGGACCGACAATCAGAAATATATACTCTTTGGAATCAGAGAAAATTCGGAAATTCAGTCGACGTTTCTGACCTTTACGGGCGGCGGAGCGGGAGCAATGGCTGGCTGTTTTGCTGGAGGAGACGGAAATGAGAGGAAGCAGAGTAGGGCTTTGTTTGGGCGTCTGTGGGAGATGTGCTGTTTTCAGTTACACAGACGCACACCCGGGGGGGGGGGGGGGGGGGGGGGGGTGGGTGGGAAGGGTGGGTGTTTAAGTCCATTTCTATGCCCAAACTACCTGTTATGCCTCGTTACACAGACGGGGGCAAAGTTGGAATAGAATTTCATATTCCACCGTTGAAATTTCCAATCTCAACCCAACCGATTCCGAATTCAAATTTCACAAAAAAAAAAAAAACAAAAAACAAACAAACAAACAAAAAGGGGGAAATTGAGATAGATTTAGAATGTGAATTCTTCTTTTTTTTTTTTTTTTTTTTCCAAGTTAGCCAACTTATTTTGAAATAAAAAAAGTTCTGAAATATTTCGTTTTATTGAATTCTTCTATTCAAGCGTTTCGAATTTTTGTATTTTATTGCTAGTTTTGAGTTCATTATTTTCATATTAATCATATACTTCTATATTAAAATGGTTAAAACATACTTATACACTTTAAAAGTAACTGAATTTATAGATAAATATATGCCAAATATTAAAAATGAACAATAAACTTGATGTATAAAACAGTTCAATATCTTGTAAATATACCCATCTGTTTTATGTTACCTACGTAGCTAACCAATTACATTTTGTCACCTTAGAAAGAAAAAAATAAAAAAATAATGAAAAGAACTTGAAAATTTTGAATTTTTAACGATAAGGACATAATAAAAGATAAAGTGAATAGTATCAGGATTGACTTTTTAGTATAAAAATGTAATTTTTCATTAAAGTAAACATTACCGGGAGGTTGTCGTTAAAATTCCCTAGAAAAAAAACGTATCTGCATTGCACATGGTAGATTTTTAAGGGTATCTTTACTACTTTAAAGGCGGAACAACAAAATCCCTACAATAGATTTAGTCCCGGGCAGCGGCAAATCATGTTTCAAAATCAATTACCCGACAAAACATGAATAGAGTGTCCGGGATGAGTCCGGGCAGATCATGTTTCAAACAAGTGGACCCATTAACGAGTCCATCTTAGCCTACGATACCTATTAATGACCTGTTAAGATTATATTTTTTAATTGTATACTTTCAAACTCGTCATTCATGAAATTCAAACATTCTGACTTGCAAATAAAAAACAACTGTTAAATCGTAATACTAAAAAATTGTTATTAACACTTTAAAATACTCCCAAACTTTCTCTATTTGGCCAAAAAAAAAAACACTTATACAAATGTAAAATAAAAATTTTGAAGTGCCAATAATAATTCTAGTACTAATCGACTCAATTAAAAGTTAGGTAGTGTTACATGCTATACCATAACTAGTGTCAACAAATTTGCGAAATCTCCCAAGACTACAGGGCGTCGTAAAATTTCATAATATAAATCACTACTTCTGACCATCTTCATCGTAAAATTTGAGTCTTGCGAAATCTGGATTTTCGCTACGCCCACGCTCAATTGCTGGACGTGGCGAAAATCGTTCCATAAGGACTCGGAAGTTGGAAACCTGCTATACCACCAAACAAGTAGTGCAGATGGAGGAGCTAGCCAGTTTATTAACACAGCACAACAATAAACTTGGTCACGAATTAAAACGATGTCATTCAAAACAGTACGTAGAAGTTTAACGGCAGCAACACTAGACAACCACTATCAGTCTACCACCCACCAAAGAGTAGGGAATATATCAACTACACATTTTGTTTTTGAGGTCACCTGGAAAACTCTACATAGACAAGTGATGATCTCATTTTGCATTTGCTTTGCATCACCAGGGTTACAGGAGGAGCATCAATCCTTTCTTTTCTTCTTCTTCTCATTCTTCTCGGCCGAGTTCTTCAACTGCGGTAAAGAAACGATAGCCGTTTTAGTTAACAGGTCTATTTAGCCTAACAGATAACATCTGACAATATAAAATAGAAAACAAGACCGAGAGGAGGATTTTGCTCTTAAAGCATTAACGAGAACTTACCATGATAGCCAGTATACGGACGAACACAGCAACAAAGTCAGTGAAAAGCGTCAGGGCATGCTTCACATAGTCCAGGTCACCATGGTGCGCCTTCTCAATCATTTCCTGGGTGTCAACTACCATGTAGCCCACGAAAATCAAAAGCCCGAAATACAGCTGCAACACAATTTCAGAGAGCGATTAGATAACTGCATATATCACCCTGTTTTAGCTTTTATACGCAAAATGTAGCATTGCCCATCACTCACATGACTAATTGATAATTCCTTACCTCAAACTTGAAAAGAGCTGCAGAACCCCCAAAGACAGAAGAAGCAAACTGTAACCAGATTAGTATAGAAAGGCCAGAAGAAAGCAAACCCCCCAGGTAAAGGTATTCCCGGCGCCTTGCCAACATGGCTGCTGCTGAGAAACAGCCAAAGGCCAGAGCAGTTCCTCCAAATGCACTCATCAAGACACTGCCTCAAGAAAACAACAAAAAATCACGACTTTTGTTTAGAAATGACTACATACGGTCACTTCTTTCTTAAGAGATAGAAGTGTCGTTTCATTTCATGCTACTCAGCTCGAACATTCAATCAAATAAAGAAAACAACTGCTAACACATATGTACCTTGGGTTAATCTCAATGGCCAGTTCAATTAAAGGCCCAAGAGTAGCCCCCATAAAGAGACCAGCGGCCATCAGTAGAGAAACCCTCTTCTTCTGCTCAAAGAAAAAAACACAATACACGAAAACAAATAAAAAAATTGCGATAACACAAATACATAACTGCAGGAAGATGAAGAGAGTTTATTTAACAAATCCTACCTCTTGATAGGTTGGTGTGCAGAGTAACCACACCATGCATCCAGTGCAAGAAAGAAAGGTGATCATGCCTCCGATATTCCACAGGATATGCAGGTAGGCTCCTGCAGCTGATGCAATCAGGGTGCAGCACAAAGTGAGGTAGACCTGCAAGATTTAGGCTACCAATCAGTAAATCAAAGTTGGTATGGTTTGCACGCAACCACAAAATCCGGCAAACCAAGTTCCCCAGCCAAAACCATCCAATCAAAGAAAGTCAAAACCAGTAAAATGGGAAAATTCACACATTCCACTGTCATTCGAGTAATCAGCAATATCATAACATCCAAGAAAAGCAACTTGACAGAGAAAGAAGAACACGGGAGAGCCCTGCTCTTTCTGGTTTCTCGTTTCCACCACAAATAACAAATGACAAATGACAAATACCATACAATGTTTACACACAAATAACATACAATAACAAATAACACCCGCAGAAGCTATGAATCTCTTTTTCTGATTCTAGGTAACCAAACGAAACCCTAGATATCAAAATCAATACATCCAGCACGATTTTTGCAGCACATAATTGTAATTATCAAGAGAAATTGAAGGGGAATCAAAACCCTAGCAGTTCTCGCTCCACGCCTAAATTGTTCAGTCTAGTAGACAAATAGAGAATCAAACTAAGAAAACAGAGCAAAATAGAATGAAACTTTCTCTTCTTTCTCAATTATTTTCTCGACAACCAAACAGAAATAAACGGAACTAAAATTCACTTCCGAGAAAGAGGAATTCGTACTACCACGCCTAAATTGCTCAGTCTAATACACAAACAGAGAATAAAACCTAGAAAACAGAGAAGAACACAACGAAATTTTATCGGCAACCAAACAGAGTCCAAAGAAACTGAAATTCCCTTCGGAGAAAGAGGAATTCGTACCAGTTTGAGATGATTCTGAACGACGGGAGAGATCTGACGGAAATTCTTGAGAGACTCGGAGGCCCAGCGGTTTCGCGAAGGCGTTTGAGAATCGAAGAAAGACGTGAAGGCGTCCATAGTTGCTTGGTAGGCAAGAAAGGAAGAACGAGCAAGCAAGAAAATTTGCAGAGAAAAAGTGGGAAATTGAAAGCGGTTGCGGGACGGGGATGTGGAATTTATAGGGCCCTCCCTCGGGTGACTTGATTTCCTGGAAACTTCTAGTTGTTGCAGCGTTCATTTACCGTTCTACCCTTGTAGTGGGCAATGAGATGAGATCCATAAATTTTTGCGATCCAAAAAAATGGCGACTCTTGTAAGTTGAAATAATGTTATTTCTTAAATATTTTAAAGAAAAAAAGAAAAGTGTTATTGGCAGTTCAAAAATCACATTCTACACTCCTCACAAGTGTATTTTTTTTCTTCTTAATATAGAAAGTTTAAAGTTTAGAATGAGATTTTTAGAATAATAATAACAATTCTCTAAAAAAATTACAAAATATTCATGTGTTTATTTTTGGTTTGGCCGATGGAAGATGGAAGTTGCGAAATGAAGTTAATTTGTCACAACCCGTCCCAGAATTTTAATTCCGAGGACGTGAAGTTATGAAAATGCCCTTAAACGGGACTAAGGGGCGTAAAATATGTTGTAACTTGATGATTTGGGGATTGGGTAGGATCCCACCTCCCTCAAATCTCTCCCTCATTCCCGTGCCTTGTCTCTCTCTCTCTCTCCTCCCTCACAAATCTCTCATTCTCTGAGAGTTCTCTCTCTCTCCTTCGAACTCACACAGACCACCCACAAACCACCCCAAAACTATACCAACGAAGGATCTAAGACCACCATCATTCTCCTGAGGACCACACGAACACGATGGTACCAATTTTAGGTGAGTTTCACTTCGGAAAACATGGATTTCAATTTCACTGTGCGTGTGCACTGTTCATGCACACGTAAAACTTGATGTTTTCTGGGATTTTGAAGCTTGTAGGAAGCTTGGTGAGGTCCTAAGGAAGCTCGGAGTGCTTCGTTTGAAGGATTTGGACGTCGGGATCACGAACTGTAAGTCCGGCCGAATTTTCGTATTTTTGGAAAAGTTTGATTCCGTTGTTTTTAGGCCCTAAAACTAGTCCAACGTGGTAGATTATGATTAGGGCTTCATTTTGGTATAAATTACGTGAAAAATGGACATAGGAACACGGAGAATGACAAGTTCAAAGTTTGGCCGGAGCTGTCGGGGCTTTTTCCGGCGAAACCACGGCGAGTTAGGGGTCGAGACAGGTATGGATGTGTTCGTCTCGTTAATACCTTCATTTTGATATATAGTACGTCGAAAATGGTTAAGAAATGAAGAAGTTATGACACTTTGAAATTTACCCAGAAATTCCGGCAAAACACCATCTCCGGCGAAACCAGTCCGGCGACGCGAGGAAGAAGACGCGCGCGTGGGCAGCGCGTGAACAGTGGGCGTGGGGGCGCGTGAGAGCTCCAAATTGAGTTCTGAAAATTGTCACGCGTTCGTGACGTCGTGTAGATCACCGTGGTATATTCATACACCTAAATTGAGCAACGTATGAGAAAGTTATGGACGAATGTTTGGTGTATGTGCGTCAAATAACGTCAATTTGGTTACTTTTTGTATAGGTGAAAATTATACAGAGAAAGAATGTAACCAAGCTAGGGGAGGTTCAGGGACCTACGAGACGTCGATGTGATATGTGAGTGGGCAGTTATTTTTCAGTATATATATATATATATACGTATGCTTGACGTATTTCCCAGAAACGTATTTTAAAAGAAATACGAATTAATTATCCTGTCATATATGCATCATATTTTAATATGTGCATTACCATAATTATGCATACTGTTGCATGGTGCTGAGGAGGCCCAGGTAAGCTACGATTGAAATACTATCATCACATGCATTAGTAGTGGCATACATTTATATATGTGTATTGGTGCTGTGGACGCACAGGTAAGTGCCAGGTAAGTGGTATTCATGTTGTTATGCAGTAGTAGGTTGAGAGGATTAGAGAGCTCATAATCTGCACCCCCGGTGTTAGTGCTCCCGTCCAGGGCCAGGGCACAGCCTTCACGTGTATGTTCACCAGCACCGCATGCTCGTCTTGGATCCAAGTTAGGTGCAAGCCTGTCGTGGAGACCACATTAGGTGGTTCCGACTTGTAGGTGACCCGCGATTTATCGCACAGCTTCACGTGATCGTAGCACTAGAGCATACATATATATTACACCCAGCTTGTCGTGCAGACCACGTTAGGTGGTTCCGACTCGTGTGCAGATTCAGTGATTGAGTTGAGCGTGGAGCTCTAAGTGCAGCGGTACATGTCACGTTAGGTGACTCCCGGCTGCCAGATTATATATTGTGATGTGATTACGCTTGAGCATTTACATTTATTATGAGATTCTATTGTGGCATATTCTCAAGCATGAATGGCATATTGTGAGCATGAATGGCATATCATGGAACATGATTGACATATCTATACATACGTATATATGTTTATTTTCTGGGAAATTATACTTGTTTTACGGCGAGGGGTTACAAAGTTTTGAGAAGTGTTTAGAATTGGAAAAGAATTGTTTTACTGACCCACTCAACTTTGTTTTGCGCCCCTCCAGGTTCAAGAATTGCAAAGGTGTGGTGACTACGAGGAAATTCAACGGAGTTCTGACAGAATGGACCAAATAAGGACTCACCTTCGGGTGTTGCATTTTAGAAGTAGTATATTTTAAAGCTTCCGAACTGTGCAAATGGTTACGTCACTCTCACGTGACGGCCAGCATACCCTCCTTCGGGACGGGGTGTGTCAGTTGGTATCAGAGCCTAGTTTCAATCTTGGACATCTTGAGAAGTTCTAGTGAATTCTGTCAGAACTACACCGCCTCGTAGCAAACCACGTAGTTAGAGGAATTTAGTCTCCCTGATTTAGCTGTTAGGGGAAACTATTATTTTGGTGATTCAGTATATTATCAAAAAGGGACATTTTAAGATGGGTTATGAGTTGAATTTGAATCACCTTACGAAATGATGAACCTAAGGGAGCAAAGCGATGGCTTAATCATTTGGAAAAGACGTTTTGGATTATACAAGTCAAAGGAATCTTCCTTTTGACAGAAGGGTTGAGACGACTACCTGGTTTGAGTTATGAACTTGTATCCTGGTGGAAACAGGAGTATAATTCGTTGTCACCGAAGGAAACAGCCGATTGAGAATTGTTTAAGGATTTGTTTAAAGAAAAGAATTATTTCCTTTGGCATCTTATGATGGTAGAAAGCAAGAGTTTGCAAATGTGAGACAAGGAAAGCTGACGATCAATGAGTATTATAGAAAGTTCTCAGACTTGCCTCGTCCCATTCAAATATTGCTGCTATTTTGATTGAAGTGTTATATTGTTTTAGGCTGGGTGGCATAAGGCAATGGTATTTTGGGTGACCACTATCCATTGTAATTCTTATCAGGAATATACAAGATGTTGTTGAGCCTTGAGGATTCTGAGAACATGTTCAGCGAGAGTAAAGAAGAATGATAAAAGAATGGGAATCAAAAGAGGACGATAAAGTTAATGATTCGTCATATCAAGAATATAGAAAGATTCGGAACTTCAAAAGAAGTGAAGCTAATTCTAGTTCTTTTGGCAAAGGTTTTAATGCCATTGATCAGAGGTGAAGTGATAGATGTATTGGTAATCCCAGATCTCAGAGACAAGGTGATTTTGGTAAAAGAAATGTACCTTTGGGCTGTAGGTACAATAATGGACACCTTTGAGAATGTAGGCGAGAAAGCAGTGGACGCTTTACAAGTGGATAGATGGGACATAGAACTGCAAATTATGTCCAAAGCCAACAGAATCCCTAGCAGTCTTCTTTGCCACAACTAGCGCCGATCCAGCAAGTTCCTGGATTTATTAATTATGGTCAGTTAGGCTGTGGTGTACATGAAAGAAGTATTTACACTAATAGAGGTTGTGGGAGACAACAAGCCCAGGGATGTGTTAACCACACATCACTGCAAGATACTCAGAATTATTTGGATTTGATTAGGGGTACGATAATTATTCTTAATGACTTAGCTAAAGTCTATTTGTTGTTAATGTAGAAATATTACGTTATTATTGTTATTGCCTTGAAAGTAGTAAATAAACGCGGTTGAGACGTGTGTATGTATTTCCTAATGAGTGGCAAAATAGTAATATTACACCCTCGAGAGTTGTTGCTTACTTATCGAGACAACGATGATTTATCAGTATTGCGGGCTGCAGACCGTAATATTAATAACTTATTCGTGGATTCGTTAAGCAAGTAAACCGATAGGTTATCCTATGTTAGTATCGTACTTATTCAGAGTGCTCAGTATTAGTAAAGTATGTATTGTTGCTAGCTACTTTTGTTCCATTAGATTGTGGATTTCGATGTTATTCTAGAGCATATTATGTTATATACATGATATGATGAGTTGATTATGAGCTATATATGCAGCCGAGGGCTGAGTTGATTAGAATGAAAGAGTATGAGCTATGTTTATAGCCGAATGTTGAATTGATTATATGTTATTTTCCATCGGTCTGGATGACTAGAGATTACTTTTGTAAGTATGCAAAGTGGAGTGAGGCAGGCCGTTATTTATGTTGTAAGAGCAAAGAGATTATTATCAAAAGGCTGCCAAGGATATTTATATCATGTGGTGCTAAATGATGTCACTTCTAGTAGCGTGGAAGAAGTGGGAGTAGTCAAACATTTACCTGACATTTTCCCTGAGAATTTACCTGGATTGCCGCCAGTCAAAGATGTAGAGTTCACTATGGATTTGTCTCCAGGTACAAACCATATATTATAGAATGTTGCCTTTTGAATTAAGAGAATTGGAAATTGGTTGATAAAGGTTTTTATTCAACCTAGTACATTACGTTGGGGGAACCCTAGTTTATTGGTGAGAAAGAAAATGGACGTTAAGGCTGTGCTTTGATTATAAGCAGTTGAATCGAGTAACAATTGAAAACCGTTATTCGTAACCTCACATTGATGGTTGTTTGATCAGCTTCTAGATGGTTGTATATTTTCTAAGTTTGATTTGAGGTCTGGATATTATTAGTTGAAGATTATCGGTGAGGATGCCCTTATGATAACTTTCAGGACT